TTATGTCGAAATTCAAAATGAGGTTGGCGATGGGTAAGTGTCAAGTGAGCGGAATTAAACGGAGCTCTTCGCAAGATATTCTCTTTGCAGATGCTATACATACGTTGGACGCCCTGATGGCAAAAGCATTCTGATGCTTGAAGCAAACGAAAAGAGAACGTAAGAATGTAATCAAGACTGATGACGCAACGACAGAGTTTATGATACAAAAAAAATCCAAAAAGCCATCTCCTGCTCTATTTTTTCTGCACCTTTGTCCGTTGGAGAATGTAAAATTTGATTACGCTCTTTGCGATTAACACAACAAATTGATAGCAAAGGAAAGAATATCCGTGCGGCATTCGGTTGGTACAGCACCGATTACTGATGTTTAGCTTCGCTTCCCTCTTCCTCTCCTTCTTCCCCCCTCCCTCCTCTCTCTCTATCCCTTAATGTTTCAGGTGTATCGTAAGAAGGATAGTCCAGCACGAGCTGCTCCATGTGATTGGATTGTGGCATGAGCATATGCGCCACGATCGTGATGATTACATCAAGATCCACTACGAGAACGTTAGAGAAAGTGGGCTCAAATGAAATGGCTCAAGTTTCTTTTTTTTTCAAAACGAATGTATTTCAGATCACTTGAACCAAAACTTTAGAAAACTCTCTCCGTCAGAAGTAACTACGTACAATGTACCATACGATTACAGATCAGTTATGCATTATGGTGCGAGAGCATTCACAAAGAATGGAAAAATTACCATAGAAACATTGGATCCCAAATTCCAGGTTCTCCTTCATTACCATATCGTTGAGTACGTCATAATTTTTGAAGTTCAGGATATAATTGGTAAATCGGAAGGTGCCACTCCTAGTGATTATCGCAAAGTTTGCGAAATCTACAGTTGTGACATGTGCATGGGTGAAAGCTTCGACACTAATGATGATCTTATTAAGAAAAAATTCTGACTGAGGTCCCAATAGAAGAAGATAAGAAGGAAGGGATTCCAATGCTTATCGAAGAGCTAGTTGTGAATTTCGAGCCAACGTCAAGACCCGTTGAAAGTGGGGCCGATCTTATGAGTCGTCTAAAATTTTATGGACAACAGTGACAGCATCATTTAGGTTGCATTGACATCTTTTCTCCATTTTGTAAGGCAATGG